TGTAACTAAAGAGTGGTCATTTTGCACAAGTGGAATAAATATATTTTACTTTTGAATTGATTTGTAGAGTCTAGTTAAGCTTTCTAGGCTAATTTGAGCTATGAATAGAAGGTGGATGTCTTTTCACCAATTTTCAACAATCAAGACTTATTCATCCATATATATAAAGAGCCAAGGGCCATCACGATCAAAACAACCAGACAGACGACTGAACAGGCTGTGTGGGGCGACCAGGCTGGCAGGTGGGTTAGTGAGGAATGACCGAACAGCAGGCTGCTTGGGGTGACCAGGCCAGCAGGGGGGTGGGGCAGTGAGGGACGACCAAACAGCAGGCTGCGTGGGGTGGCCAGGCTGCAGGCGGGGCAGTGAGAGGTGACCAGGCTGGTGGGCGGGGAGGGGGGGGCAGTTGGGAGCGATCAGGCAGGTGAGAGGTTAGGAGCCACCGGTCCAGGATTGTGAGAGGGTACAGGCTGGGCTGAGGAGACCCCCTCCCCCGTGCACGAATTTTGTGCACCAGGCCTCTAGTATTAGATAAGGTATTACACAAAGCCACTATCCATTCCTTCAGTGCTGTTGTTTACAAGAACATTAAACATAGCACTTTCGTTTCATTTCAAATAATTAATATAAGGGATGTAAAGAGTGTATATAGTATATTTGGAAAGGCGTGGGCAATTGCTGTCTACTGCAAAAAGAGAGAGAAGCATATTTCTTTTTACTTGAGACTCATAAAAAAGAAGTGAGTTAGGAGTTTCTGATTGGATGAAACTTGTCTGACCAGAGAATTTTTTAAACCCATGGCTTTCTCCACATATTATTCCTGAAAACAGCCTTTCAAAATAGTTCCCATAAAACATTGGATCATAATCAATATGGAACCGTCATAATTTTATGGATTCTACATTAACATTATTTCCAAATAATAACCCCTCTTTATATTTGGTACTATCCAGTTCCATTTATATAAAGGAGGTATACTTTTACTTAAATATTTTGGTTAGGAGATTCAAAATCACTTTTGGATGCAGTTGTAGAGTATTTGTAGTTTATTCTACTGCATGTGTATGTGTGTTGCATTCTAATGTTGGTCTGCGAGAGAGCATTAGGATATAGTGCCCAATTTTGGCTGTTGTGAATAGTGCTGCTCTTAAATTCTAGAATATATCTTTAGTGAACATTGTTAGCCATAGGACTTGCAACATAAACATAAATAGTATGGTACTATATTTAATAGATTCAGAAACAATGATACTAAACCATGTTTTAAGACTGTGTGTGTGTGCAAATTAGTAAGAGAGAAAAGCCATAGATTAAGTATATTGGGAAAGAGCTGGGAAAATTGCATCACGTAGGGAGAAACCCAGTGGTATTAATGATAGCATTCTGGTTTTTAAATTGACTGAATTTCAGCTGTTCACTGTATTATTTTGCTTCATAACATACATATATGTTGCATGTATTATTTTTGGTATCAACATATATGGAATTTAAAAGAAAACAGGATTGGATGTGCTGTTTCCTAGTGTTGTTTCTTATTCAAAGCTTTAATGCCATGCATTACTGAGATCTCCTGATCAAAGCAGATTCTCCAGTGACTCAGCAAAACTGGATCACCTTCAACGGCTTTGAAAATTCTTGTCAAGTTGGCCTCTTAATCTTCAATATGCATGTCCTAATCCACCCTGCATATTGTGGAAACTTTTTTATTTTTCGCCTTGTTTTTGAGTAGCGATAGACTTGTTCCCACTGGTTCAACTCCTGAGCCTTCTTGACTGTCCCATAAGTAATGGGAGGGTGCATCCTCACTCTCTCTGGAATAACACACTGAGAAATAACACAACTACACGCATGCATTTCCGGCTAGACCAGCGGTTCTCAACCTGTGGGTCGAGACCCCTTTGGGGGTCGAACGCCCCTTTCACAGGGGTCGCCTAAGACCATCCTGCATATCAGATATTTACATTATGATTCATAACAGTAGCAACATTACAGTTATGAAGTAGCAACGAAAATAATTTTATGGTTGGGTCACAACATGAGGAACTGTATTTAAAGGGCCAGAAGGTTGAGAAACACTGAGCTAAGCTATGCCTGGACTTCTGACCCATAGAAACTGAGATAATAAATGTCTGTTGTTTTAAGCCACCATTTTGGTGACAATTTATTACTCAGTTTAAAGAGCTAATACAGATGAAATAGGCTTGAATTCTAAATTTCATGCAAAAATTTGTGATTCTCCTCTGTATTTTAAGATAAAACAATGTTCATCACATGTATTTTAAAAACATATCAATGCAAGAAAGCTAAATATTTTTGAATTATAGCATACTAACTAAAAGGGGACAAAAATAGTAGAGAAAGAAATAAGACACCAAGGACAAATTATGTTTTCTTTTCAGAAGTATAAAATCCAACCTTGCTTTGCCAGTTTCTGGCATAAAATAAAATTCAACACTGACCCCCTTCCCCCCCCTCCCCGACACACACACACACTAAAGTCTAAAACACAAAATGTTGATGCTTTCTGCAAAAAAAAGATACAAAACACACTTTGTTTTTAATGGAGTAACCAGGAAGGATGATATAAGAATAATTTGGTTTACATCAACATCATTTAATATGGTGCGGGGGGGGGGGGGCGGTGAAAGCATTTTATTTTACTGGATTTTCTATCTTAAGGTAAAATAATTTTTAGATAGAATTTTAATGCTCTAGGTCAGGGGTCCTCAAACTTTTTAAACAGGGGGCCAGTTCACTGTCCCTCAGACCGTTGGAGGGCCGGACTATAGTTTAAAAAAAAACTATGAACAAATTCCTATGCACACTGCACACATCTTATTTTGAAGTAAAAAAACAAAATGGGAACAAATACAATATTTGTATTTGCATGTGGCCCTCGGGCCGTAGTTTGAGGACCCCTGGTCTAGACCCTCGGGAACAGTGTCACGTCCCTTGAAAGACAGTGCTCCCTCTTTCCCTGTTGATTTAAGCAGGAAAGCATGCGGATGGTTCCACTGATGCTAGGAGAAAAGCTAATCTTCAGAGAAAGGCCCGAGAAGTAAGATTTGCACCCTGTTAGGTCTGATCAAATAACTGAATGGGCACCCCCTCCCCTGGGGACTGATCTTTAGAGCACTTGACAGCAGACGTTCCCTTTCGCTTAGACCACCTTCCACCTGCTAAGACCACTCTCTCTCCCCTCCAGACTTTCCCAGGATCTGGACCAGCCCAGAGAGTTCCCTGCCAAAACCCACCCAGCGTCCTTTAAAACCTCTGATTCCCCATCCCTGCGTGCTGGTGCCATTTTGGGGCTCAGGCCGTCTGGCATGCAGACGACCTAATGCATTTATAACCCCTTACCACGTCTGGCCTCATGCGTTCCTCCTGTGGCGACCCTAACAGCCCTGGTACACTTTCCATCAGACCAACCTTGAAGCCTACTCTCTTTCGGTTTCTCAGGAGTGAGTTCACATTTCCAAGCTAGTTTAGGTTAAGCATGAATGCAATATCGAAAAATAACTGTGATGAAGAAAGGTATAAAAATATTTCTCAGGTTCTTTCATTTTCTTTAGCAAGAGAACTAGCTTCAATTTGCAGGAAGTTCACTGGCAAATCCTCACAGACAGCACTGAACTGAAGAGAAGCATTTGAAGGACCTCAAAGCATTTCTCAATTCCTTGGGTGAACCTGCAGCCCCTTTGGTTCTCTCTGGCATTTTTTACATTAATAATTTCTGAAGCTTAATAGTTATTTCTTAAAGTTATTATACATTTTTCCATTCTACTTCATTATTCTCACTAACATTAATCATTTTTCTCCCATTATGTAGGTGTGTTTAGAGTCTAATAAGATTGTTTTATTTTTCAAATGCTTTCTTTCCTAAATTGGAAAGATGGGAAAAGCTAATGTGTAATTTCAATGCATTCAAAAATGAGTCCTTTGGGATTATGGCGTGGAAGTAAGTGCAGTCATAACTGAAAATGTCAACTGCAGTGGTTGGGTGCGCCTGATGGCCTTCCCCTCTCAAAAAGTTTGCCTTGGATATTAATATGTTTTTATAGCTCCGTTAATTTACATATACATTCCATTTCCACCCCAACCCAAACTCTGCACCCCACATACAGCAACACTGCTTCCGATCTCCAAGCTACATTTCTGTCCCCAAAAGCAGTGTAAGCATTTCTGTGCTTGAGCAAATAGAGGCCTCGCTACTTTAAAATCTCTCTTTTGCACATTTCCTATATTCCTTTTATCTCGTTCTCCCACACACATCCTGAGAAGAAATAACGCATCTCAACCGATTCAAGTACTGCATTTGCCAATAAGACTTTGAAAACAAACTGCAGGATATTTTATAGTCATCCATTTGCTCATTCCCATCATCCCCAAGGGGATCAAGCACATATTATTATTCCATTAAGGAAGTGAAGACTCTTCGAGCCAAGCAATTCTCCCTTTAGTTCCCTCCCTCCCATTTCCATGTTCTAGAACTGTCTCTGCATACATGGGTCTCAAACCTTGTCAGCCATACCTTGTGACTTGCAGGAGATCCTTAAGGCAAACTCACCGCAGGGACCAACAGGGAAGCCATGGAGATAGGGCTCTAGGTCCATGCCCCTCCCAGAAGCGAAGCTGCTCCCCCCGTGAGTTATACACTGCCGTTGTGTCTCCAATTATACCTGGGGGAAAAACTCAGTGTTAAAAATGGCTGCAAGTAACTCTCCTAGTGAAAGTTTCTCCACGCATATAGCACTCCTGGTTTTTCCTAGAGAACTAGCCAAATCAACCCCAAACAAAACAACCACAGATTAAAAAAATATTTTAAAAAGTCAAAGCAACACTTATCTCAACATAGAGACATTTTCAAATGAATCTAATGTAGAAGAGAAAACTTTTTGGATGATTTGAATTTTTATGAGTTTTTAAAAATGTATTACCTTTCTTGTTCAGAGTGTTACAGATGTTCCCCCTTTTCTTCCTTCTTGCCCGGCTCCCCCTAGCTCCTGCCCCACCGAAGGCCCAGAGATCTGCTATACAGATGCTCAATGCAAAGCTTTGCTGATCAAGGAAGAACCTGAGAAATACCACACACTGTATCTGATGCTCCAAGAATCCCCATGCATGTTAGCAGGTTAAAGAATCTTGTAAGTCCTGCAAAGCACATTTATCTTTTTAAGTCAAGTCTTTTCTAATCGTATTGGACCGTGAGACCTCTTCCTCACCAAACATTTATTAGCAACTAAGCAAACCATGAGCATACCTGGGGAAATTCTTGCCTTTTATAAATTAATGGTTTTGAAAGTCTTTATCAAGTTAGAGTGTTATAATCTGTGCTAATATAAAGATTTTCCAAACTTATGCTTGGTTTTACGCTTTAAAGAAGGACATTCTTATTCTATGAGCAGCACAAATATATGCCTGTAAGATAAAAAGACATCACAGAAAAGAACAATGAAACGTTAAAGTAAACACATTTGTTCCCTTTAACTGTGCTGTTTTGTTTTCAGGAACATATGTGTTGTTTCTTACTCTTTTAGCATAAGTTAAAAGAAAGCCAGAAGCAACTCCTCACTGTGTGGGTGGGGGTGGGGGGAGGAGACAAATCACACTAGGGAAGTAGAATTTTAAATTTGCAAGTGGCTACTGCCTCTTTATACTTGTGCAAAAAAGAACTTGATATTAAACTCAATACGCCCAAAGTTAATTTACTTGAAGTACAGTTATTCGGAATTTTGAATAGTTTAACGTGCTAAAGGAGTCTGGCGAAATTAACTTTTGCAATATCTGTGAAAAGATAACACATAAAGCAAATTAATATCATGGAAGCGACAGACGCTCAGTGGAGGCTGTATTTTTCCCTTTGTGACTATTTAATATCCTAATTAAAAAGCTCTCTTATCTCTTTGCAGAAACATTTACAAGCGTCGCATTGGGTCCAGGAGCCTTCCCCATGCCAGCCTGCAGGACTGGAAGGAGCTCACAGACAGCTGCTTTGAAAGTTACTTCTTTAACTACAAGGACACGATGTTGCTTTTCATTTCTTTAAAATGCCTGTTCATGCCTGGCTCAGTGGTTGAGCACTGAGCACATGCCTGGGTTGTGGGTAGCCAATCAATGATTCTATCTCATCATGAATGCTTCTCTCTCTCTCCCCCTCTCTGAAATCAATAAAAATACATTTAAAAAATATACTTGCTCAGAGTTCTTTCTAAGTCTTAGAATATTTCATCACCTCTCTTCTGAGTTCAGGAAAAATATGTCTAGACTAATATGTATTAGCACCCTGTTAACAATTTCATATGCCTTTTGCACCTTACAACAAACCAAACAACTCCATTTTTCAGATGAGCAAAAGCCGAGAAAGGTCACTTAGCCAATAAGTGCTTGACTTGGACATGAACACAAACTTATCTTGCTGGAGGCAGGGATCTCAGAGGGAAGGTGGGATGGGGAGGGAAGCGATCAACCACAGAGCTTGTAGGCATAACTCAGGGACACAGGCAACAGGGTGAGAAGATTGGACATGAACACAAACTTATCTTGCTGGAGGCAGGGGACAGACTGTGGAATCTCAGAGGGAAGGTGGGTGGGGGAGGAAAGCCATCAACCACAGAGCTTGCAGGCATAACTCAGGGACACAGACAACAGGGTGGAGAAGGCAGAGGTGGGCCAAAAGGAGTTAAGGAGGGAGACATATGTCATACCTTCAACAATAAAGATCTAAAAAAATTTAAATAAACACCATGCTGTTTTCCACCATATCACAGGTGTACATTTCTCATTTTTCAGAGTGTAGTTTCACATCCCTAGAACTACAGTTCTTCCAAGAATTCCTGCCATACCCTGTTCTCCTTCCAGAGGAGAAAAAATAGGGTGTCTCCACTCTTTGAAGCTCCCTCTGAACACTATTCCACAGGACACCCTTTCTTAGAAGTCAGTTCCATTGGAACCGAATTCGACCCCTGAAACTTGATCAGCAGCTACAGCTCATTTCACTGGGATACAAGCCTCAGGCTACGTTTGGAAGAAACTCCTTGTTGTTACTGGAGCCATGTGGGGCCATGAGAAACCGAGGCTGAGAGATGCCACCTGGGTTCCACTGTTCATAGTTAGTAATTGTTTCTGAGCATTGAACCCAATAGAATGCAGGACGCTGGACATAAAAATAGGACCAGAACAGGTAAACATGAAAATCACCACCTGGCACAAGGCTCGCCTGATGAGTTCATTAACACACCTGATCCCCTAAGAGGGTCTGCTGAGACAGTGGGGACATAAACACGGAACAAAACAAACCCACAAACCCCTCACACATTGTTTCCTGGACTTGCCCAGTCAGCATGCATGTGTGCGTTTCTATTGTGAGCCTATGTTATATTTTGCCTTCCTGAGCCTGCACAATATTATGATAAATTGAGATGTTCCCATCTTTTGCTAGGCTGGCCTAACACACATTTCTGGTTTCATTAAAAAACAACAAACCAACAGCTGAGAACAATACGGTATTGTACTTGGTCTGTTTCGCTAGGGAGGGAATATAAAGCACCCTCTTTTGTAACGAATAGATGAATGATAATGTGCTCCTCAATGGGACACTGTTTCAAAATCTATTTTAGCTCTGCGCTTGGGATTTTCTTTGTGCCTCAGCAGGTTGATCTGAACTAGGGGCCAGGGCAGGAGCCAGGCTTGTCTAAGAATGGAGCTCGGAACCATGACATAGCACTCAGCCTCGATGAAACACACAGACACGGACCTACAATGAATCATTATCGGCCGCTTTAAAAACACCCAGAGCAACACCATTTCTCTATTCATACACGTTCAGGGTTTCAAAGTCCAGATCATATTGAAAAAGTCTTTTATTTTCTCCATGGTGTCTGTCTGCAAATGAATGTTTCTTTTTTAGCCAAATCTGCTAATGACTTGCTGAACACATATTTTATTCTAGGCTAAAACAGGTATTCAAGCTAAGAAGCAAACACATTTTTTTAAAAATCAATAAGGTGGCTAAAGTTCAGGCTACAGAGATGCCAGACTTTACCTCACATATTGGATTCATTTCCTTCTTAATGATATGAATCAAACTTAGTCTGCCCCCCCCCTGCACCCCAGAAGTCTCAGTCTTCTTAGCTGCAAATTGAAAGACATGCAAGTTGTCTGGGAGTTTGATGGGTTTCATAACTAACACCTGTCTTCCCTACCCAAATTTTGATAAAATATTAAGAAGTGAAAGATGGAGTCCAAATTATCCTCTGGATTAAAGATGAATCTTAAGGAAGAGGATGTAGCTTAGAGTCAGAGCCAGATGGACCTACTCAGTGAATCTCAAGATACAACGTCTAACCATCCTGTACATGTCAGACTCAGATGGGGCCTGGGAGGCAAAGATCCTCCCCCCCCAGATTAGAACTGGGGTGTGGAGGGGCTTCACTGCCTGGGGATCAGGGAAGAGAAAAAATAAAAGTAGAAACTGCAGCCATAGGCCCAATTCATTGTCCTCAAGTTACTGACCCAATAAATCATTTCATTTCCTCTGGTAGAAGAGAGATTATGGGTTGCAAAGGGTCAGGAGTGTCCATATTGGGGCTACCTTCTGAAGCCAGTTCTTTCCAGAAACAAAGAGGCATGAGGGCCTCCCATGGGTTAGAGCCAATGAGAACTGCCTATTCCAAGAGAGTACCAGCCGGGGATGATGCAGGGGGAAGGCTGGGTGGGGAGGAACCTGAAGGAGCAGAGGGTTCAGCACCCTGAGTGGTGACTAATGGACGTTTCACATGGAAGGTGGTTTCACTCACATGGCGGTTGCATCAAGAGCGGGCAAGAAGCATTCGCCCTACATAGTAATGTGCATTTCACAGGTCTGCCATGAGGATTCACATGGGAATGCATAAAAAAGGCTCAGCACAGTGGGCTTAGCATCTGTAATCAATCCCGGCATCATTCATGGAACACATGGGTGAGTGTCATAATGACCCTGTCCCCCACGATTGCACATGCCCTGCCTCACTCCTTGCCCTTTTGCGTATGCGCAAACATTTCTGCTCTAATGTGATATATGTGTTCCCCAAAATCACCACTGTATGCAACATCAGGCAATACGATGCACAAAAGTTGGGGCATATGCCCCTAGCCCACAATTTTAATGATCAAACACAAGCCTTTATATTCTTGGCAGGTTGGACATGTTAGGTTAAGGGTATGTCATTCACAAACTTCATCCATGACACCTTCACAAATGATAGGGACTGAATAAACATGGTGGCGCATGGTAAATGGTTATGAAATACTACAATCAATATGGCACCTGCAGTTGCTTGTGGAATGGGGGGAGGGCTGCATGTGAGTTACTGTGACCTGGTGGGCAGAGCGCTCTCTGAGTTGAAACGGAAGGTACCAGCAGGTGTGGATGGGCGTGGCTCACCTCCCTGTGATGTGCGGTGTTGTTGGGATTTTCCTACCCCCGGATGGCTCCCTTCATCAGAGTGTAGTTTTGTGTGTGAGCCTCGTGTTCCCCGCTGATGAAAAGCACCTAAGTAAATGCAAAATTTGTGTTCTCTTCACAGTGGTCCTCACATCCCAGTCTCATTGGAACAAATTTACCCTTTCAAAACAAGAACTGACCATACCGATTTACAAACCAGGAGCCGCACGTCTGGCCTGCCTTGACACTGGGGTGACTTATGGGAATGTGATTGCTCAAGTGCAATGGCTACAACCTTGAATTTCAGCCACGGATATTGGCCCAAAGAAATACATAGAACAGGGAAGAGAATTCTAAAGGCCCTTGTTAGGAGAGCCATGGCCTCCTGGAGAGGTTACTCAACTCTCTGGCTGGATTATGTGGGAGGGTGCTGAGGACACCTGAAGCTCAGGTGTGAGGTTTAAAAAAGCAGGAAGAGGAAGGAAAGAGGAGAAAAACAATAGTGCTAACCAATTCTTAGAAATGACAAAGGAGCTATGACTCACCCTCAGTATCATGTGATGGATTTGAAAGGTAACTTTTTTTGGGGGGGGGGGCAAAAAACGAAGACCTTTGATCATGGAAAAAGATCAATATGCTTACTAAATCTATTAATTAAAGTCATCAATCAAACCCTAATTTCTCTTATTCCAAGACTGATAGAAAAGAAATTTGGACTTTTTTTGGGGGGTGGAGGGGGGCGGTGAGAAATAACACATTCAATCTGCCAAGAATATAAAGGCTTGTTTTTGATGATTAAAATTTTGAAAAAATAACACGTAAGTTAGATGTAAAAGCAAACTGTCAGTCACTCAAAGCACCCACCAAGAAAAACCTTCGTATCAACGTAATAAAAACACTGTAAAGAGACTTGAAGTCTAAAATCAGTAATACAATAACAAGAAATTTGTAAATTTTCACAGCTTTAGTAAATGTCTGTCATCTTTTGAATTTCCTTTTTAAAAATCAGCGTTTGTGTGTAGCGGCCGTTGCTTTAGATCAGAGAGGTTCTTAGGAAGCCAGAACTATGCTGGCTTCCTAGTTGTGTTCACACACTTCTAAGACGCCTGCCGTTAGTCATTTCAGTGAAATCGACGTTAAGCAATGAGTTGTTCGGCAGAACGCCGCAAAGCAACTGGTTGCTTGACTTTTTATTTTCGGTAGCATGTCCACAGTTATTTTTAGAACCAACTCTAACTAATGTTTTTCAGAACCGACTCTAAATAACGATGTTTAGCAAGAGTCATGTGATAGTAGGCATTTCAGAAACATCCAGGGAGAAGACGCTAGCCCCCATGAGAGAGTCCCGCATTGGTCCTCTGCACTCCTGAGCGGCTTACTATCCTACACCAGCGTTTCAGTGTCTTATTCCCTCCCCTAATCTGTGGGTTCTAGCATGGAATACTTTCATCTAAATCTCTCTAGTTCAGCGGTTCTCAACCTGTGGGTCGCGACCCCTTTGGGGGGTCGAATGACCCTTTCACAGGGGTCGCCTAAGACGATTGGAAAACACATATATAATTACATATTGTTTTTTGTGATTAATCACTATGCTTTATGTTCAATGTGTAACAATGAAAATACATCCTGCATATCAGATATTTACATGACGGTTCATAACAGTAGCAGAATTACAGTTATG